CAGAGGATGCTTTTGAGATTAATTGTTTCAGAAGCCTGGCCCTGAGTTTAGTAATGTCTCTTAGATCTTGCATTTCTACTTGGAAAAATAAGTTGACCAAGCTGAAATTAAGCACAGTTGTTTGTTACTGGTAGTCTTAAAATTCTTTTGAATTGCTTAATCCTAGTTTTTATTGTTTTAAAAATCAACTGAGGGGACACACTTACCCTCAACTTCAGCCACCCAAGCGTGGCAATTCCAAAGTATGGCAGCCATTTCAATGGGCAATTTGAAGCAGCCACCTCAGGCAGTATTTGCAGCCACTTAGCTGATGGTTCTTTTAAACTGATTGAATGACAGAGATATAGGTTTGCCCTGCATCCTTCAAATGTGCATCCTTCAAATGTGGTGGAAGAGGCCCTGGAGAAAGTTTTAGTTAGCAGTACAGTGAGTTTTGTAGAATGAGAGGCGTGTCACTTTTCTTTCTATCACAGCAGTGTACAGGTAATCCTTAACCTATGACCACAATTGAGCCCAAAATTTATGTTGTTAAGTGAGAAGGTTGTTAAGTGAGTCTTGCCCCATTTTATGACGTTTTTTTTTTTTGGCCAGGTTTGTTATGTGAATCACTGAAGTTGTTAAATTAGTTACATGGATGTTAAGTGAATCTGGCTTCCCAATTGTATTTCCTTGTCTGAAACTCGCAAAAAGTGATCACCTGACCCCCGGCCACTGCAACCATCATAAATATGTACCAGCTGCCAAGCATCCAAAACATGAAGATGTTGCAGCAGTCATACGTGTGAAAAATGGTCATAAGTCACTATTTTCATTAACTTTGAATGGTCACTAAATGAACTGTTGTAGGTCAAGAACTACCTGTACTGTACCAGTCCTACGCAGTGTCATATCAAATGATCTTTACAGTATAATTTTTCTAATGGTACACTACTTCCTACTTCTGGGTAACTCCTCAAAGTTTCTTCTCTTTTGGAAGCAGAGTAAATATTTCAAAATGTGGTGAATTGCAAAAAAGCAAACTTTCTTTCCCCTTCACATAAGCTTCTGAGAACTAGTAGCTGTATAATTATATGCACTTGCAAGCCTTTGCACAGCAGGGGCAGGAATGCTCTCAGACTTTATTTCCCTAATGATAGGTTTACGTAAAGGCATTACATCTTTGCAGAAAAATGTAAACTTTAAAGTGGCAGCTACTTCTGTGTTTGTGGTGCAAGGCATTTGCAGTAAGTGAAAGCAGATTAATAGCTCAAGTTTAGAAATAAACCATGTTGGGTTTTTCTGGTTAGAATACATTGGATTGCAGCCTAAATCAATTAAATGTAACATAGTGGCTGGAATTCTGTAAAAGAAAGGCAAAGGGAAGTGCATCAGGCAGGTTAAAAAAATGGAAGAAGATATAGGACGAGCAAAAAACAAAACAAAACCCTACACAAATCACATATGCACATATTTCCATTAAAAGTTCTTTCAACATTCAATAGAGGTTACAAGACTAGACCAAAATATTTTTCACTCTTTCTCTTTCCTCCCTACATGCCATTTTATTTATGAAGAGTGGCTTCAGTGTTGTAACATGCATAGTTTGTTAGTATGGACTTCTAAGTCTCATATATTCTAATTAACATTTTTTTAATGTTAGTTTCCATGTTGAAATTAGTGTGTCATTAAATAATCCAAAATCTTTATTTTCAGTATTGACACGCTAACCACCATTATCTCTGCTGGGGCTTTTACATATGTTTTAAGAAGTAGGACTATTTGCAATGGTTACGTCATAATCTACATCCTGGCAGTTGTGTTTGCCACTTCTCTTGCACTAGAAGACATTTCCATGTTTGATACTACTATATTATGGTGTGTGTTTTAAAATCTGATTGTGCAGCTGTGCAGTTGCCCAGCTATTATTTCTTTCCATCAGTGGCATTTGTTTCCAGCTTTACATACACACAAATTTACTACTTCAGTAAGCTTGCATCCTCACTACTTTTGGCTGTTTAAAAATAGTTTTAAAATAGAGCTTACTTGAAAGCAAAATAATTTAAGAATAACCCAGCTGCAAAAGGACCAGGACAATCTTTGTCTTGCGTTGTTGTTTTCTCATGGTGGACAAGCCAAGGCCTTTCTGATATTCAAATGCAGAGAGATTCCTTCCCAATTGTTGTTCTCCTACAGCTGGTATTCAGACTTCTTTAAATCAGAAAGAACAAATTGACTACTTTCTCCTTGCTATTCATGCATTTATGTATCTCAATTGTGTTCTCCTGTTGGAAGAAATATCCTTCTGGGTTCAGTTCCAATTGGGGAAAAAGACACTGGATTCATGGAAGTTGCTTGGAAAGAAGGTTTATTGATGAACAGGATCACATGGCTTGACTTCCTGAGCAGAAAAAAAAAGGGAGGCGAGATGCTGAGAGTGCCTTGGTTTTATGCCCTATGTTGAGCTTTGACTTTGAGCTTGTAATCGGATTGGTTGTTAGACTCCCATGGGCTATGCAGGGGCAACTCTGTAGTCTGTCCTGAGTCCCAAGCTTGGTTGAGCATTGCTGAATGATGATTGCTTGGTTGAGCATTGCTGGATGAGGTGCCATGTGATGAGTTCTGTTGCTAGATGGGTAGAGGGCTAATCCTACCTTTGTTGGATCTTGGGTGAGGGCATTTGCCTATGAATAGACCTAGCTATCTTTTTACCTCTTAACTGTGGACATCTGCTGTGGGCTATTGAGGATGGTGTGGGCTATTAAGAGTGAGTCTGTTTCCTGCCTAAAAACATGTTTCTCCATTTCTCATCCAGGGAAATATAATATTCTGCCTTTTTAATATTTCCTAGAATATTTCATTTTTCTAGGAGGGGGTGGGTGCTAACTTCCTACACTCCCTCACTTACTTTTTTACCAAGCTAGAGGCTCCCAAACATAATAGTGTTTTCTCATATGAAGGTGCTTGAAGTCCATTGATTATTGCAGTTCCCTTTTCAAGCTTTATTATCTCTTTCTAAGTGTGGCCATCAGAACTACGTACAATATTCCAAATGTGAACACATTCTATATTTGTATTACAATTTCCTAAAGTGCCCTACCATAAATTTGTCTTTTTGTAGCTGTATAATTATTATCTTCATTGCACTATCCACTAAGACCCTGACCTTTTTTCTGGTTAATTAGAGACATTTCACATCCCAACAGTATATATGTGAAGATAATGATGTTTGCCACAATGTGGATCACTTTGCACTTACTTAAATTGAACCATATTTGGTAGATCATTCACTCAGTTTAAAAAGATTCTTCTAGAGTTCTTCACAATCAGTTTTGTTTGCTTGTTTTAACCACCATGAATTGTTTGAAATCATCCTCAAATCCAGGAATTCAGTGTTTAATTAAATTGGGTGATTAGTGAACATGATAAAAGCACAATTCCATATCCTGATTCTTGGAGGATTTCATTACATACCTCTGTCGTTGAGAAAATTGCCCAAGGACTTCAAGTAAGCTTAGAACCCTAAAGTAATAACATTTTCAGTCACTTAAGGGAGACAGAATGTTAAAGAGTCTATGTTGAAAAATCTTGAACATAAATACTTGAATGTTTACGCCCTAATGAAATAGAATTACAAACTGCCCTAATACATTGTTTATTGCCAGTTTTATAAATATATAACTAATGAATCCTAGTAACCATGGAAGCAGTATGGTAAATTAGGTAGGATAAAGGTAAAAATATAATAACAAAGCACATAAAGTGATGTACTATGCAGTACATTTTTGACGGTGACATATTATATTGTTTGCTATTTTTATATTGAATATTTTGAATATCTGATGATTCACAATGTATTTGTATCATTCATTTAAATGAATTCATTTTCAAGGACTTAAGTAGTTTGCATAACAGATTGCATAAGAGATTTCCTGAAAGATTTACCATTATTAAGATGGTATTATGAGACATGGTGGTGCAGTGGTTATAATGCAGTACCGATAGTCCTTGACTTACGACCACAATTGAACCCAAAATTTATGTTGCTAAGTAAGACATTTGTTAAGTGAATTTTGCCCCATTTTTCAACCTTTCTGGCCACAGTTGCTAAGTGAATCATTGTCATTGGTAAGTTAGCAACATGGTTTTTATGAATCTGGCTTCCCCATTGACTTTGCTTGTCAGCAAAATCACAAAAAGGAATCACATGGCCCTGGGACACTGCAGCCATCTTAAATGCAAGTCATTTGTCAAGCATCCAAATTTTGATCACGTGACCAAGGGGATGCTTCAATGGTTGTAAGTGTGAAAAATGGTCATAAGTCACTTTTGTCTGTGCTGTTGTAACTTTGAACAGTCACTAAATGAACTGTTGTAAGGCGAGGACTATCTGTATTGCAGACTAACTCTGCCTACAGCTGGGAGTTCAATCCTGATTGGCTCAAAGTTGACTTGGTCTTCCATCCTACTAAGGGCAATTAAATGAGGACCCAGATTGTTGAGGGCAATATGATGACATTATAAAGTGCCCAGATAATTCGGTATAGCACTATTGAGCAGTATATAAGTCTAAGTGCTATTTCTCTCACAGCTATTCTGAAGTAGCTTACTACAGATCAATATAGAAGGAATTGAGTTGAAAAACGGTAACTCCCCCAAAGCTTCTGAGAGGTTCTATAGTTGATTAGAATTGATGTCAACAGCTGACCCTTTATTTACTACCCAGGAAACGATTTGAGTTGATGAACTAATGTAACATTTAAACTGATTTGTTATCAGTTTATGATAAAGTTTGAGATACATGGTTTGTAAACTTGTGAGTCACTTCAAAGGTTGATGAGCCAGGTTATAAGGGATTGGATGTTTTGATGAGTGCTAAGAGCTTTTCATTACTGCTAATGTACATCAAATTAAGTATGCAATTAGACTGAATATATTCATTGGGTTTATCTAATAAAGGTTTATCTAATAAGATTGTGTTTTACTGACTTGTACATTAATTGAATATCTTCTTTTTCTTATAGGTTAAACGTGGCCAGTAAAAGGTACATGGGACATATATACTATTAGAGATTATCGTAGACGTTCCAAGAGCTGCATAAGTGAGTCTTTAAAATTATTTTTTCTCTGCATTTTAAAGAAAAAAAAAACTTCATTATTTTTTTTCCTCAAATTTGTAATTAGGCAAATATTGACAAAATCTATGATCGTGTGGAATGATTTTAAAGTTACACAATAATTTAATAAGCATAGACTCTATAAGAGGTGTAAAAGCTGCCATTTAGGCCATCAAGTCAAACCCACTACTCAGGGCAGGGATTCAACCTTGCAAAGGGCTATTGTGTCTACCTAAAGACATTTGTTGAAATGAAGTTCATCACCTCCCTTGAAATTGATTCCACCGTCATAATCTTTTTTTTTTTTTTAACAAATATAAAGTTTTTAATAGCATTCAACTGGAATTTGCCTTCCTCTAGCTTAAGACCATTATCCCATATCTTACTGTTTGGGACAACAGGTGGCACCTTTCATCTTCTGAGTGATATTCTCCCCTGTTTTTTTATTCTCAATAATAATCATACCCTCATTGGCTCCTTATAACTTTGCAGTGTCCTGCCTATCCTCCATGTCAATTTTACCTATTCCAGTTTCTCAGAATCTGTGCTTAAAAATATGGTTCCTAGATTTAATGTCATCCAACCAACCATCACTTTTTATAAGGTGGACACTATTCTTCTATAGATGCAACTTAAAATTGCAGCTTTTAGCAACTTTTTTAGCAGCTGCTAATAATACTCTCTCAACTCACATCTTTTTTTAATGAACTATAAGTCCAAGAAGCTTTTCTCACATACTGTTATCTAAATCAGGTGTTCTGCAAGCTTTACTTTGCATTTGATTCTTCATTTCTAAGTAAATAATTTATCTCTATTAAATTTCACTCGGTTTCAGTCCACTTGTCTAACTTTTCAATTCGGTTTTGAATTTGCTTTGAATTTTTAAATATATTCACTCTCTGTATCTCTAAATGAAGAGATACAGAGAGTGAATACATTAATAAACATTAATAAGTAACATTAATAAAAATATTAAGGAGTACAAGCTCATTACCAAAGTCTGTAGCACCCTATTTGTTACATCACTCCAGTTTTATAAGGAACTACTGATGAACATTCTGTATGTACTGTATGGTTTCCAAGCCAGGAATGTCATAAGATATCTTATTAAATGTTTTGCTGAGCTCAAGTTATATTATGTCCATAGTCTTTATAAGATACTAAGGAAGTTATTGATTAAAAATACTGACAAGATGTTTTATAAATCCCTACTACTTATAATCACTATATTCTTTTTTTAAATGCTTATGGGTCAATCTTAATATGCTTGACTATTGTCAATAAAGAGACTGTATTGTTGAGTTATGTCTTTAGAGAATATGATAGCCAAAAAATAAAATAAAATCCCCAAGTAAATTATGGGAGAATCAATATACAATTCTCACTTGAAATACAAAGAACCAGGCTCAAATCACCATATTTTGGATGCATTATGCAGAGACACACTTGAGAAAACCATAATGCTGAGAAACATGGAAAGAAAGAATAACTTGTTTGACAATGAGATGGGCGGCATATACATTTAATAAATAGAGTGGCCAGAAACAAAGTGAATAAACTAGATTACGGTGATGGTGAAGATGTCATTGGATGACCGGAATATTGGGGACAAATTATCCTGAAGAAGGTTTAGCTATATGATAGCTAAGAATTGACACCAACTTGAAGGCACATGATCAGTCAATCAATGTGATTTAAAAATCCAGTAAAATATGGTTCTAAAATTCTGTTTTCACTTTGTCATTATGGGGTACTGAGTGTAGATTAATGAGAAAAAAATTGATTTCAACACCTGTAGAACCAGGGTGGCAGCATAACAAAATTGACAAAAGTGAAGGGGGTCTGAATACTTGCTTCATGTATCTCACAAACATAAATAAAAATATATTCTTATAAGCTCTATAAGAAGAGTTTGTTTTGGGACCTAGGAAGTGCCTCGCTGTGAAAAAAAATCAATATAGCTCCCAGGCTGGTGTTCAAAATGGCATTGAAAACATGGCTGCTCCCTCAGGCCTTGGGGAGGGTGATGCTAAGCCCATATACAATTTTATTTGATTAAAGAAAGCATTCCTGCGGGCACAAATGATCTTTATTTTATTTTATTACTTGTTTTTAACATTGTAAACCAGAGAGGCTTGTGGAATTGAGCGTTCTCTAAATTGAATGAATATAATGACTGAACAAGAAAAGCCCCCAAATAAAAATATTTTTATTGATTGATTGATAATCAAATTTATATAGCTGCCCATCTCACCAAAGGTGACTTTGGATAGCGCACAAGAGCTAAAAGAGCCAATAGAAAAACAAATTAAAATCTAAAACACCACACTGATAATTATCATAAAAATACTAATCGTTGGTGAAAGAAGGATAAAATGCCTCCCTCAGCAATGAACCCATTTAGAAAAGTTTCTGGTTCTTTGTGAGCTCCAGGCTTGGCAGCATAATCAGGTCTTGGGGGGTTTTCAGAATATCAAAAGGAATTTTTAATGAAAAAAAAACTGCAGCCAGCCCCGTTTCAAAGCTGACATTTCATCACATTTATAAAAAGAAAATATTATCCACTTAATGAAGAAAACGTTGAGGTTTTAACTGTAAATATGTTTTACACTCATTATTCTTAAAAATGCTTACTACTCCTTATCACCTGAGATCTTATCAACCTCCCTTTTAAAACCCGTGAATGTGAAAGAATTTAGTGACATCTGTCTCCATCCCATTCTTTTCTTCCTTTAAAAATGATTGCATATATAAAGAAGAAATCTTTCTGGCACCCTCCATATGACTTCCATAAAAGTGACCTTTTGAATATTTACCATGGTTTTTTTTTCTCTTTCATTCCCACTTGGGGAAGATTTCCGTAAGGCACCTCTGAATACAGTATGAAAATCCTCTGAGGCCGAGGAGAGATAATCAGCTCTGTTTCTTTGCTTTATGCAAGAGAGCAACCAAATGTTGTAGAATCAGCTTGCATTTGGACTCCCTGCTGTTTTCCTTCCCGTTTTCTGGACATCCAGTTGACCCGCTCACTGTCTTTTTCATACGTGCAGGCAGCGTGATTGGTGGAACTGGGTCATGTATCTGCCTCTGGCTATCACCATCATGCCTTTTCCTTCAGAGGGAGCATTTCGGCTTGCTTAGGGACTTGTGAAAAGCTTAAGTAAAGTAGATCAGTTTCCATGGTCACACCGGAAAGAGCTATGGTGTTAGAATACAGCAATTTCAAATTCTTTTTAGTAGGAAAAACAGTGATAACAGAGGAGAAGGATTTATTTCCTAGTATCTGCAATCCCATAGATAATTGCTGTGTTTACTGTTTAAAACACGCAAATGTCTTTTTAAAGCAGAATTCTGGTATTAGAAGGAAAGTGGTTCAGTGCAGTGAGCATTTTTTTTTTTTTACGAAACAGACAATATTTGGGGTTATACTGTTAACCCCAACAGTAACAATACTGTTACTGTATTTAACATGTCCCAGCTTTTTAATGCTTCCTGCCCCTATCATATTTTTTGTTCTTTCTCTGGAAGGGAATATCACAATGGAAATGTATATTTGTATGTCTGTACTTCTTTACACAAGAATCTTCAAGCATGGTTCCTATAGTTTTGTATGGTATAACTATGGTAGGAATAGAGAGAGTCAGGTAGTTGTAGTATTTAAGGACCAGAAGAGAAACCAATTTAAGGATCAGAGGATAAATTCTTGTTCTAGCTTAAATGCAGAGCCAGCTGGGTAATTCTGGACCAGTCACATACTCTCAGCCCTAGGAAGAAGGCAGAGGCGAACACTTCCAAAATCTTGCCAAGAAAACCAAAGAGACTTCTCCAGTTAGTCACCAGAAGTCACTACTGACTTGAACGCATCCTCCATCCTCCAAAGAAAGCAAGGAGGGGTATAGTTGGGAAAATGTCCTCAAAGTCCCACTTGTAGGCATCAAGAGTCTAGGCATCAATTGTTTGTCTTATGCCCAAGCTACCTTTTTTCATCTTAAGGGGTTTAGAAGAAGTGAAAAACTTTTGGAAGTCTGCCTTTTTGACTTGGTCATTGCAACTGATTTTTTTAAAAAATCCATGTCTAACTTTGGACCATTAATTGTAGCTGTAACATTTCAATGAGGAGAATTTATAATGAATACTGGCAATGCCTTAAATCAGGGCTGTCAAACTCCTGGCCTGCTGACTGGATGTGTCATACACTGGCCACGCCCATGCCCAGTTTAGCGAAGGGGGGAAAAGTCCCGATACATCATGGGACACCACCGGGGCGACATGAATTTGACATCCCTGCCTTAGATTCACTTGCCTATCTTATTTGAACAATTCCAGGTGCTTTTTAAAAATTATATATACACTAGGACCGTGATGGCGAACCTATGGCACACATGCTGGAAGTGACACACAGAGTCATCTCTGGCACATCTCGGGCACATGAGCCATCGCCCGTTGCTCTTCCGGGTTCTGGCATGCCGGCCAGCTGGTCTTCATGCTTGTGGGAGCATCAGAAACCTGGTGCGCATGCGTGTGCTGGGAAGATGATCTTCCGGTTTCCGGTGCGCGCATGGGCACCGGCCACCTGGTTTTCTGGTTTCTGGTGTGCATGCATGTACAAAGACCAGCTGGCCGGTGTGCATGCATGCGCCAGAAACCGGAAGATCATCTTCCTGGCGCACGCATGTGTGTTGTGGTCCGCCATCAGCCTGCGGACCTGGCAGCGGAGTCAGCAGTGAGGAGGCTCGGGAGGACAATGGGCCAATCCTGGAGTCAGGGGAAGGCCCGGACGACGGCTCTGCATCCGAGGCAGAGATGGGGCAAGGCCATCTGGGAGCGATGTGTGGACTCCGGAGCCTCCAGAGGCAGACAGCAGAGAAGCAGAGGAACAGGAGGAGTCTGTTCCTAGTGCATGCATGTGAAGAGCTGCCAGAAGGCAAGAGCAGCTGAAACAAAAAGGATGACTCGGGAGTAAAGCCAGAAGATGATTGGCTACTCCCATAAGGCTTAAAAGAGCAGCAACGAGTCGTTCGGTTCTTTGTAGAAAAGCAATGTTGATTCCAGTGCTTCTTGTCAGCGTCTCTTGAACTTTGTGGGGGTTTTGTCAAGAAAAGCCTTTGGCAGGTTGTCAAAGACATCAAAGGTTGGTGATAAGGCCGTAGGACTGGTTATGAAGAATTTGTTTTGGACTAAGCTGAGATTGAATTAATTCTCAGCTGTTTTAATAAAATAAGTTTGTTCAGGACTGAATTGTGTTTGGTAATCACTACTTGGGCCTCGGTCATAACAATGCGCACCAGGCAGCTGCTGTTTTGGTTTTCGGTGCGCTCATACGTGTGCATCCGTATTGCCACTCAAAATGAAAAGGTTCGCCAACACTGCACTAGAATGTGTTCATTATACATACACTATACTGCTCATTTATTATATCTACATTAGGGTGTTTGAGAGCTTTAGAGTGAGGTCACAAGGCTATTTCACAAAAGGAGGCAACTTCGGTTGTTATGTTTTAAACAAGATGGTAAATTGTTTAGTGCTTTCTCATCAACTTTTCCTTCCAATCCTGATGCATCAGGAAGAATACAGGTTGGGAACTGTAGCTGTTCATTATTACCTATTAACCTGGTGTATTCTATCTCATTCAAATGTGATCCATTCTTTCTATTATAATGAATTCCACAGGGCTTTAAGAAGTCGGTGGGAACTGCATGTATGAAATGAAAGAGTTATAAAGAGTTGTCCTTGTTTTTCAGAATCAATTGGACTGCATAGCCTGCATAAACATGGAGGGGGATTGTTTGAGCTGCATGAAATATCTGATGTTTGTCTTCAATTTCTTCATATTTGTAAGTTTTCTTTGATTTGTCACATGAGGTCTTTTTCATATGTCTCCTTAGGAGTTGGTTATACTTTGGTAGAAGCAATACAGGTGCAGAAAAACCCCTTACATTTCATAGGTAGCAACATTTGAAACAAGCAATTTGCTTTTTATCAGAAGCAGCCAGAACATTTAAAATACTGTGAAGTTTGAAATTACTGATGAGACAGAGACTGCCCTTGAATGGGTGGTTCATAAGGCCCATGGATGGACTGTAGTTGTGAGATACTTCAGTTCTAGAACTGGTGTTGAGAGTATCCAGTCACTTGGGTACCTTGGCAATTTATAATTTTATGAAGGCACGGAACATGGTTGTATAATTTCTTAGTGTCTTTTTGCGCAACTTCCATTACTGAGCTTCATAAAAACCATTAAAACTTGACATTTTAAGCGAGCTCTGGGAGTGAGACTGATATGAGTGGGAAGCCTCCATTTACAGATTGTATTTTGAAGTTTCACTGTTCCCTGGATGCCAGAACATTTTAATTATTTTGTTTCTAATTGTTAATGCTTATCTTGCTATACCATTTTTTTCTTTTGCCTTATAAACTTGAAAGTTGGAAATCTAAACCACTTTGGACTTGAATGGCATATAAGCCCAGGTAGGTAGGTGAGTAGGTAGGCAGGCAAAGAGCCAGTTTAGTGTAGAAATTAAGACAACCAGTTAGAAACCAGGAGACTAGGAGTTTTAGTCTTGTGTTAGGGGCAAAACCAATTGAATGACCTTGGGGCCAGTCATTCGGTGTCAGTCCTAGGAAGCAGGCAATGGCAAATCACTTCCAAAAATCCTTACCAGGAAAATTTTAAATGTCCTGGCAGTTAGTAGGATCAAAGCCATGGAGAGAGGGAGAGAGGGAAGGAGGGAGGGAGAGAGAAAGAGAGAGAGAGAGAGAAAAACTGTGACAGGCAGTAGTAGCCTAAATAGCAACATGTTCATTAACATGTTGTTCAAGAATAACAAACTGCCTTCACATGTCACCCGAGCTCTTGGCATGAAATACAGTAGCTCTTGAGTCCAGTTTCTTCTGGCAGTACCTTTGTTTCTGAAAAAGCCATCTGAAGATAACATATGTCACCTGTGTATGCAGATAATTCATTGTAACTGAAGTATTTAGGAAAAAATTATCCCACTGAAATCTGTTGAAGTTTAACATAAGCTGGATTCATACATCATTACATTATGCTAATCCTTAATGCGACTTGTTTGATTCTCTTAACTGCTCTAGTGAATCCAGCAAATGATTGCTTGAAAGCTTGACTTAACCCATCCATTTTGTGACCATAGTTAAATAAAATGATATCTTATTGTAATGTTTAAACCTGACTATAGAATAAGGAACACCTATACAATTAAGAGACATCTAGCAATCATACCAATTTTTTTTTAATTCTCCAAATGAAAAGACGAGTGAGCATATTAAGATTAAGATACTAATTCGTTTCTTGAACATTTGCATGTATTTCCTTTCTTTTGAAATGATGGTCTCCGATTAAAGAAACTATGAAATAAGATTTTGTATTAAATAAGTATAATGAATAACTGGAATTCTTAAAAGGGGGGCTGCTTTCAGTTGTAAATAATCACAATATTAATCCATTTAAAAATGAAATGTATTCTTGACATTTTTGGAAGATGCCTTTTCGGATAAGGCTATCAGTTTGGGTCTATCAAAAATGGATGGCCATTACACGTTAACAAATTAGATGTTAACCATTAGATGTTAATGAATTAATGCAGGGGAAAAAAAAACCCTGCTATTTTGCAGTTGTCCAGATTTTAGCAGCTCAGATGTGGGGTCTCTATTCTCTGAACATAATAAATTGTACCTTAAGGATCTGGCTTGCATTACAACAATTACTATTCAACTTTTAACTTGAATTATGCTGTCTAGAGGAACTTTTCCAAGAAAATGGTTTTAATCTGAATCTTCCCTTTCTTTGATAGCTGGGTGGTACCTGTCTCCTGGGAGTTGGAATCTGGGTCATAGTTGATCCCACAGGATTTCGAGAGATCGTGGCTACTAACCCTTTGCTCTTTACTGGAGCATACATCATGGTGGCTATGGGAGCTATGCTCTTCTTGCTGGGATTCCTTGGTTGCTGTGGAGCGATCCGTGAAAACAAATGTCTTCTTCTTTTTGTAAGTACAACTGAATGGATTACTTTTCCCACTGTACCTACTTGTGTTATTTTGACCTAAGTCCAGAAAATAATGTTATAAATCACTACAATTTATTTATTTTATTTTATATTTCACATTTTTGAACCACTCATCTCCCTTAAAGAGAAAGACTTTTTTTGTTACTCCATTACACCATTTAACTTTAAAGCTTTTTCATTCCAAAGGAAAATAAATTATTTTCCTTTGGGATAAAAAAATATAAATGGAAAAGTATATGTTGCCATATGGAATATTTCTGAAGCTTGGTTCAAAATAAATCAGGATTGTTAAATTACAATTTAAACAGTTGTCTTCTCCTTGACTGCACATAAAACGAAAACTATGTTTTCTGTAAAATTATTTTAATATCATGCATTTTAATTATTTAATATCATGCATTATATTTTAAATTCATGGAATAATCAAAATTCTTAATTTGTAGAGTTACTTAAAACTGTTTAAAACAGTTAAAGAACAGTTAAACTATGGAAAACAATTGAGTGTATTTATAAATATCAAGTATATCTTTTCAATCTCATATTATCAGCTGCCTAAATGGAAGGGAAAGGCGTGGAAGATCATTTACAAAATATGAGTCAATAGTTTCCTGTAACACCTGAACAAGAACTTTCACAAAAGCCTAGGACACAAAATCTTATCTATAGCCTATTGCAGGGGTGTCAAACTGGTGGCCCACAGGCCGGATGCGTTACACACAGGCCACACCCACCCCAGTTCTGTGAATGGAGAAAACATCGTAAAACATCATGTGATGGCAAAGTGACCCGGCGAGTTTGACACCCGTGTATTCTCATTTCCACCTTTATTCATTCATCCTAATTTGTAACCTGACCCAAGGATTACTTTTCTTGGAATAAAACTTGTGTTTTATCATCAGCTCTGTAGCTAAAGAATAAAGAGATGCGTTGCCAACTTAGAGTTTCGAGGAAGAAAAACTCTCAGTAGGCCATAATTATGCCCCAGACTTCCAGTGTTGCTTAACTCACAAAGGGTCTCTATAGATTCAATCTTTGTGGGCGGTTGTATGCATTCATATGTCAACCAACTTGACCAAATCTGAGCTTCACAATCATATTGAATAAGTAGAGCCTTGACATGTTCCAAGAAATTATGTGGCAGAACAAAAAAGTGTCAAATTGTGCTACATCTATTCCATCATGAAGATATATCATTCTTTTTTTCTTTTTAATTTTCATTTGCTACTAATTGCAGAGACAAATCATTTGGAGCATTAGATAGCATCCACAAAGATTTTGCCACCATTTCACCAGTTTTCATATTTTTTTTTCCTGTGCATCAGGCTGAAAGAGATCCAGATTTGGCAACTGGTTCATATTTATGATGGGTTTTGTGTCTCAAGGTCATGTGATCACCTTTTTGTGACCTTCGGACAAGCAAAGTGAATGGGGAAGCCAGATTCACTTAACAGCCAGATTACTAATTTATCAACTGCAATGATTCGTTTAACAACTGTGGCAAGAAAAGTCGTAAAATGGGCAAAACTCACTTCACAAAATAAATTTTGGGCTCAGTTGTAATCATAAATTGAGGACTATCTATATTTCCTATTCTTTTGTTTCTGGATGGACTGAGTACTGTGGATAGGCATCTGCATACACAACTCAAGAAAGTAAAAGTGAACTTCCAGCTGACGTTGCAGCAGTATCGGATGTGAGGAACAGGTCTCCGCGCTCCCACACTGAGTTTTCCCTGTTGGAGGGTTCTGAAAGGAGCTAAAGCCACCCTGTAGGGGTGGTGAAGAAAATAGTGGCACCCTCTAGTTTGGGGAGAGCAGCAATTCCCCTGCTGGACTCAGGGCTTCTTCCCTCTCCCTCGATGACGAGAAGAGGCAGCCATCATGACTGCCTCTTCCCAAAGCTGGGATAGCCAAGGCAACAAAGAAACGTACAGGAGCAGTGCAGATGAACAGTGATTGGAGCTTGGTGAAAAGATTCCTTTTTATTTAGACCCTAACTTTAAAGAAAAAAAGAAAGAGGAAAATCCAGGAAAAGAGACTCTTAGAACTATTTTTTAAAGCGGCGAACTACCAAAAAGAGAAAAATCCTAGACCTGAAAGAAAGAAACTAAGGGGAGAAAAGCTAAAGACCTTTTAAAACATAGAAAATTGGACTTTTAAATTGAGCAGGTGTTGTTTTAGAAAGGCATTAAAAAATGCTGGACTATCTACTTGAATTTGCTTGAATAGTTGACTTTGCTTCCATAAACTGAACTAAATTTGGAACAATTAAATCTATAAGACTTGAAACAATGCTGAAACCTAAGCTGAGGATGCCATCTACTGGTTAATGGAATATACCAGATCCCTACAAGCTTAGAAAAACTTTTTGATGAGAGAAATAAATAACATTCATCGAGAGAGGATCGAGCCAGAAGATAGGCTGAGATCTCAACTAACAATCAAGGGTGCTGTGATGCCTACCAGAATCCTTTCCCCTCTACAGCAGACAGATAATAATAGAGAATCTGAGAAAGCTGGGCCTGTAACACGAAGCCAAGTAGGAGGAAGAAAGTAGGAAGAAAGTAGGAGGAGGAAGCAGGAAGAAAAACTGTTGTCCTCCAATCAGAACACAGAGTTGCAGGCTAGCCAGCATACATCAGCAGCAGCAAATATAGATAAGCGACAGCTCCGGCCCCGCAACAGAGAACCCATAGCTTCTACATGAAATAGAGCCTGAAGATGACAGGGTGTGAGCCTGTCGAAACGTTGCTTTAAGAAAAACTTTTAAAGTCACTGGTAGGATTTTAGCTGAGATTTTAAAGGACCTTGCAGAGTGCTCTGTAGGGAATTTTAGAAGATTTTAAGCTGGGATTTTAACTAGGATTTTAAATATTTTAACCAACTTATTTATAATGACGCGGGAAAACACCCGAGATTTTAATTTTTTGCATATGCACACCTGCGAAAACTTAAGAAGACATATATATATATATATGTAGGTCTTTGGTTATTCGGGTTTTCTCCCACGTAAAATTGGAGGTTTCTTGGCAACGTTTCGACGAAGCCAAACAACAGCAACACAGTTCACCAGCTCAAATCCCCCTGCTACTCAGACTAACCAAAGCACAACCAAGCCCCCACCTAAACAGAACACACACCCATCCAATCAGAGCACAGCCAAACCCCCAACCAATCAGAACACACCTCCACCCAATCAGAACACAGCCAAGCTCCCACCCAATCAGTTCACACACCCACTGGCAGTTAAAAGGAAGAAACAGCTGCGATCACACACATTGCTCCTAGAAGCATGAAGCCAAAGACACCAGCCTGAAGATGACGAATGAGACTTCGTCAAAACGTTGCCAAGAAACCTCCAATTTTATGCGGGAGAAAACCCGAATAACCAAAGACCTACATACAAACACCCGCGAAAACCTCAGAAAACACACACACACACACACACACACACACACACACACACATATATATATATATATATATATATATATATATATATATATATATATAAATTTTTTCTAATAAGATGGTCTTATTAGAAATTTGAATAGAGGTAGAAATAAGAATACATACCTTTCTCTGAAGCAATAGTTAGATGGAAAGATTGGAGGTTGAAAAAGGATATTATAAGGTATGTTTAAATAATGGGAAGACTGGTACTTGACTGGCGTATTGTGACTTTGAACAACTAAATAACGAAGGGCTATGCCTTATATAAGTATGTGTATTAATAGAAATACACATTAGCAATAGTGAGCTGATTAGAAGTTAGAATAGAGGTAGAAATAAGAAATAGGGGGAATATTAGCAGATATATATATATATATATATATTCTCTTTTTATATACTAGAATATAAGTAATAATTTGATGGAAAAGATTAGAGGGGGGAAGATGGTATTACCATGTATGCTTATAACATTATTGGCATTCAAATGAAATATTGAAATATTGAATAACTACTTTTAAAAAACCATGCATATTAATACTAGGATTACATAAGTTTGATTAATATAACAATTATTATGATTATCATTATTGATCTTTGTATCAAAATGAATTATACCCAGGGACCACACTGTTCATGTATTGATATTGATGTATATTTAAAAATAAAAAGCTAATAAAACGTTACAAAAAAAAAAAAAAAGCAAAAATGGTTGTCCAGATGGGAATGGGATGCAGGATCTTCTGTTGTTTCCTAATGACAGAAAAACAAGAAGGGGAAACAAGCCCCCAACTTTCTGCAACCTAGAGAGGTGACGGAGTCAGATCAGATTAGCCTCTGGTGCTTTCTAAGCAGCTCTCACCATTTGGGAGGTGAATGAAAGAAGTTTCATGAGTAGTCTTGTTGACAATGCTACATGGATGCTGCATGCTAAGGGAGATGGTCAGAGGACTTCAGATCTCCTCAATTTATCTTATCACTTGTGGGAATGTGTTCTGTGTTTCCTGTCCAATTCAATGGGTGTCAAATTTTAATTTAACTGGCAGGCCAAGGTGGAGGTAAGACACATCATGGCAGGCTTGTTGAAACTGATTGTATGGGTTAGGCATGTTAGGTTCCTTGCTTGGTTTATGTAGTTAACACTTCTCAGTGTCTCAGTTTACCTCCATGTTTGTATTTTGTTGATACAACAAATACGCACACATACACACACAATTTGGCAAAAGCAAGATACTGAGATATTTTATACTACATAAATTGGATGCTCCACCACACCAAAAAGTTGAGTATTCCTGCAAAAACTGAATTTTTCATTCATTTGGCTACTCATGCCTATTTCGTCTTAAATATGCAAGGTGGGAAAAGTGCTATATATCAGTGTTTGTCAAGAGCGTGCAAAATAGCATTTTCTTCCAGGAAAAAAAAATGGTATTGTAACAAAGAACTGATGCTGGGAAATGATTAAGTGTGGGGGCCATGAAAAAAAAAATGACTTGGCAGAGAGTTTGGATGGAATGGTTGTTATCTATATCTTAATTAGGGGAAAGGTGTTATTTTCATGGACTAATTAAAATCCACGTCCTCCTACAAAGTTTTCAAATATAGATGAATCAGAGGCTTCCCAGGAGAGATTTCTCAGTGATACATAATAAATGCCTGAAGCTTTCAAGTCAAGTATAAATTCAAGGAAAATGTACAACACAGCTGAGAGATGAGGGAAACATGCATCCCCAGGGAAGTTCTTAAATTTCTTTCTCTGTAGAGATTATTTCTCATGTTATGTTTTTATAAAAAAAATGTTGCAATTGAATGAAATATAACTTGCAGTTCGTAGCCCCTAAACCTTGTCTAGCAGTTGGACTTGTTTTTTTAAAAAAAAATTGCAAGGGTTCCTGGCAAAAAAATAAGTTAGCCCATGGAATGATATTTTAAACCCTTTGATAATGTAGTGCTGTATCTATGAATTTTGCACATCTATGAAATAATTTCATCAGTAAGAAGATGACAATCCTAGTCTGCTCTTTAAAAAAAAATCTATTTATTCTATCTGCAACAGTAAGAAAGAAATTAAAAAAGCAACCAATACTATTTGCTCCACCTCAAATTTAAGGCAGTTTTACTTTTCATATACAAGTGTGAACATGCATCCAAAAAAATTACTTATCCACAATTAACCATAAAAATGTGGGAACAATTTCTTGAACACACAACAGATCTGAAGGTGACAGGTACCCTGACCACAGTCCTTATCTTGGATTTCAGATTAACAATTTGATTGATTGAATGATTAAATAAATGATTAAATAAACGATTAAATAAATGATTAAATACATACATACATACATACATACATACATACATACATACATAATCAGATGACTTTGAAGTCTGTTTAATTCATTTGATGGTTAAATCCAAATATTCAGATTCGGATTGATGATTGTGGCAAATTCCCAGTTTTAATTTTTGAACAAACTTAAAGGCATGTTAATCTACGAGGACCTTTAAAAATATGTTTACTGATTTTTGTTTGTAAGCAAAGTTCCTGTAATCCTTTTTTTCTAACCTTCCATGGGGAATGAAGCCTGCTGTGTATTTCAGACAAATACGTATAGTCGCAAGAGCTGAAGCTTTCATCAAAACAACAAAAGAACTATTGTGCCATTGCACCTCACATTTTACCCTTTTTGGATGTTTATTTGTTTGTTTGTTCTATTTATATAGCTGCCTGTCTCATACATGTCACTTTGAGTGGTTCACAGTCACAGACTTAAAAACAAAAACAAACAGTAGTTATAAATAAACAACCAAAATGGAAAACTATTTAAAAAAAAACAATTAAAATAGTTAAAATTTAATCTGTGGGAGTGTACAATCCATAAAGTGACAATACAACCAGCTAACAGGCTCCATATCATCATTGGATCCTCAACCACAATGGCAAGGCCATGTCTTCAGATCCTTCTGAAAGGCCAGTAGGTCATGAGCAGTGTAACCTTGGGGGAATGATGTTCCAAAGAGAAGATGCTATGGCAGAAAAGGCTTTTCTTCTGGGTAGTATCAGGTGACATTTCTTAGTAGAAGGACCCATAACATGCTTTCCTGCCAGTCTTGATGGAACAGGTAGATGTAACCAAGGAGAAGTGGTCCCACAAATAACCTGTCCCCATACCGTCTACAGCTTTATAGGACATTACCAGCACTTGACTCTTGCAACATTACCAAGCATTATAAAAGACATTGGACTTAGTTAGTGCAGCTTTATTTCGTATGACTCCTCCAATTGACACCTCTGATTTCTATAATTCTCTCATTTGTCATACAGGAATTAAACAAAACTACCACCTAAAAAGATGCTTGTAGTTTCATATCTAAGCCATTTTGCAGCCTTTTGTGAGGTGGGAGATGTTCCCCTTCCGTACAAAATAGGCTGGCCTTAGGGATGAAATCCAGCAGGTTCTGACAGGTTCTGAAGAACTGGTAGCAGAAATTTTGAGCAGTTTGGAAAACTGGCTGCCGAAATTTTGAGTAATTCGGAGAACCGGCAAATACCACCTCTGGCTGGCCCCAGAGTGGGGTGGGAATGGAGATTTTGTAATATCCTTCCCCCAGGAGTGGGGAGGGAATGGGGATTTTGCAGGATCCTTCCCCTGGAGTGGGATGGGAATGGAGATTTTGCAGTATCCTTCCCCTGCCACACCCACCAAGTTATGCCCACCAAGCCACACCCACAGAACTGGTAGTAAAAAAATTTGGATTTCACCACTGGCTGGCGAATTAATTTTAATTTTAGTTCTAGCAGCAAGAAGAAAGCAATTTAAATTTTAGTATCTTTTTTGTAGTTTTTTTCCCCAGTGTTCTTGGAAAAGGAGCACATTTCTGATAGACTTTGGACCATTTTTTTTTCTTTCATTACTTGGTACTTGGGATTCCTCTCTCAATATCTCTCTCTCTTTTCCATTTCAATGCCTGTTCTCTTTTTTATGTTTATTTTTTCCAGGTTTCTTTTTGAGACTAAAAACAAGTGATATTGCTGCTGTAATGAGTCGAATCATTAAAGCCTCACATCATTAATATGACTCTTAAAGCAGTGGAGATACTTGACCTCTGAAAGCTGGATTGAGTGTTGTAGTCCCATCAGGCACTAGATACTTACAAAAGGCTGGTGCATATTTATCAAATACAGGTAGTCCTCAACTTACGACAATAATTGAGCCCAAATTTTCTGTTGTTAAGTGAGACATTTGTTAAGTGAGTTTTGCCCCATATCACACCTTTCTGGCCACTGTTGTTAGGTGAATCACTGTAGTTGATAAATTAGTAACCTGATTGTTAAGTGAATCTGGTTTCTCCACTGACTTTGCTTGTCAGAAGGTCACAAAAGGTGATCACATAGCCTTGGGACACAGTAATGATCATAAGTATGAACCAGTTGTCAGCATCTGAAATTTGATCACATGATTATGGATATGCTGCAAAGGTCATAACTCTGAAAATAATCATGTCACTTTTTTCACTGTTGTTGTAACTTTGAATGGTCACTAAATGAACTGCTGTAAGTTGAGGACCACCGGTAATGGTATGTGATGCAGAGTAGGTGAAGAGTTGTCAGACGGCCCAGAATGTTGTGTATGAACTTCATAAATCCAAGTGATTGGTCATAATAGTAATGGAATAATCAGTTATAAACTGTGAAATATGCCAAGTAAAAAGTAGCATATATCCCAGATGATCAACAGCTTTAAGAGTGCATCAAACAATCCGCTAATTCTAGGGATTTGACATTTTCTAGTTATTTTCTTAAGGTATTTATTTGACAAATTTGTTCCACTCTAGCTGTCAATTTCTAAACGTGCTTTAGTCAGTTTGACCTATTCTCAATATTATTTTATTAAATGTTGAGGCAGATGTTCACTCTAGATAAAAAGTAATGTACATTTCTTTTTCTTTTTTTTCTTCTTTCAGTTCTTCATGTTTATTTTGCTAATCTTCCTGGCAGAACTCTCGGCTGCAATCTTGGCATTTATCTTCAGAGAAAATGTGAGTATGATGATGATGGAATGTTCTTTAGGATTCTGCAGAATTATATTCAGTTGGACTTCTACTTTATAAATTTGCCGAGCAGTCCTTTGTTCAAGATACTAAAACATTTCCACTTAGTCTAAGCAATTTGAAACCACCCATTGAAAGTAAACAAGCACAGCTTGGGTCATGCATAGATGCTTTATGGATAGAAGACAAAGCCTGCTTTTCAAGAAAAGGTCATCTTTAAAATTGAATTAGCTTTATTTTGAGGATTCGGGGATTAAACTAGTGGCTTGAGAGTTTAAGGATGCAAATATGTGATCTCTGGGAGAACATTCCAAGGGCCTTATGATAAGTCGGATTTTCCCAACTGAAGACAAAGAGATCCAATCTTAAAAGTGGGCATTAGGATCCTTAGATGGTCTCTCTGTAGATTTGGGAGAACTGCTGAGATTGTGGTTTATCTAGCAGGGGTCTGAGATTGGTAGAGTCTATGTTGCAATATTTTCAGGATCAGACTCAATAAGATCAACAAGAGTTAAAGATTTAACTATATATTCTTTATTTACATTAGGCATTCTATATTCACTGAATATTCACAGATAGAAGCAAGGGAAATGGTGTAGGTAGCTCCTTATATATACAATGGGTGGAGCTATATGTGGGAGTGGTGAATTATGAATACATTAAGAAGTGAAGAATAAGTTAACCCCTGATACCCTGTCTGTACACTATTTACACATTGGAGAATAAGGCATTTACATCTGACAGTCTAAATTTCCAGATACTTTCCAGACATTAGTAAAAAACAAAAAAAAATGAACAGCATATCATTCCTGAAGCTACTGGGCAGTCTGATTGAGAGAGATTTTTATATCTGCATGAGATATTAGTAATAATGAAAAAGGCATATATTGGAAAAATATAAATGAATGAATATAATGCGATCCTTTCCTCCTGTCATTACATATTTGATGATTCATCTACTTGGGCTGATTTCATCATTGTATTTGCTCTAAGAAATAATTTGATACAGAAAAAAATTACACATTTATCCCACCCACTCCAAAATTCTTTTGATACTGTATGACAAGTCAAATAAATGTAATCAGCTTGTTTTGCTCTGTAATGTTTATCTGTCCACTAAATGTTGTTGTACAAAAACAATGTCAAGATTACTAGTTTTTTCTTGTCCTGTTCAGAGAAGGGGGGGGATGAAGAGGGGGAGAGAGGGAGGGAGGGAGAGAGAGAGAGATGAAATAGTTGGTCTTTCTTTTCTTTATCATCATTGTTCAAAATACTATATACTCTTATGAAATACAAGGAAACAATGAATTCAGTCTGCTATTTCTGTGGTTTCCCCTTTTTCAAATTCTCACAATTGCCCAGATTTCTTTGTGGCATTAAATAAATACGAAAAAAGGTAACTTGCACAATAGGGATGGGATTGATGGGATTTTTAAAAATTGAGACTGTGCGTGTGAGAATCAGTGGGAAAGAAAAGAACTAAGAGTTATTGGCCAAAAAAAAAAAAATCTATGGCTTTTTTCTCAAGAGTAAATGGTGGATATTCATTTAAGTTATATTCTCAAGTGATGTCTGGTTGGTTTTTAGCTACTTGTCCTGTAGGACCTAATGGGAAAAAAGATCCCAGCTGAATATTTGTTTTTCTGTGTTGCAAAACCACTTTAGGAGACCTATGTCTGACCTGCTGCTTTTATTGTTTATTGTTCCTGGGACAAATATACTGTAGAATTGTTTATTAGTTGGGTAATTGACCATGCTTCCAAAAAAAGTCCACTACATTTAAATGACTAAACATTTGCAAACAACAGAAAAAAAATAAAGAAGACAAGAACAAACTAAGTGAGAATATCTTACAAGAGAATAAAGCTCATGATGAGCAGAATATATAAATCCTATATGCCAAATTATTCCCTTTATAGTGCAGAATAGAGGAGAGAACACCTATTTTCTATCCCTATTCTGCTGCTATTACAACAGGTTAAAGTTGGAATAACCAAAGGCTATTTTGGTTTTTCAGACTGGCCATGCTAATTAACCACTGAGTTCTGAGAATACTAAATTGTTTTTTTCTTTCTCTCCCTTTGTAGTTCATCTCTCTTCCTCAATCTCCATCTCTTGCCTGCCTTATATCCTGTTTTGCTATTGTTGATGTTTATTATTATGGTCACCAAAGTATTAATTGCTAACTGAATTGGCACGCATGTTGATCAGATCTGGCTGCAGGAATTGACCGGAAATATGCTGGATGCAAAAATAAAACTGGAAATTGCTTGTATTCATGTAGAAGAATTTTACATAGATTGTATTGTCTCAATGAAACTCCATTTCATTAAACCAATATCAAAACAGCCACATCTTTCCAAAGATTAAAAACACAGAAGGCCTCTTTTGATGGTCCCACAGTTGAAAAGAAGGAAAAGATCAATGCTTTTTAAATAATTTAAAGACTTTCCCTTTTCCTCCCTTCTGACAAGGATAGAAACAAAACTGCAGTGACAGTGACTGCTCTATAAATAGTGATCACTTCCTGAGCAAATCTGTTATGGTCTGGTCAATACCGTCTCTATTTTCTGAATTAGTGACATTCCTTCGGGAGACACAAATGGAAGACCTCACAGCAAGAGAAAACCACGCATGTAATCTGTCAAATTATATCTTTGAGTATGACCAACCCAGATACATGCACAGATAGCCACACATGCGCACAAATCAGTGGAGGGGGCAGAGTTGAAGGATGCATTCCTGTGGTAGCAGGAATTGGTAGCAGTCAAATTCAGAGAAAGCAGTTCTGAATTTGTTGCAATATATTGACGGGAGCACCAACCAGCCAAATAAATAATAAAATCAAGATCACCTTTGATATAATAGCAAATAGATCTGCCCTTTATTACGGGATAAATATACATGGTTAAATGCGTGGGATTGGGCACAGAATCTGGTTCAAGGACTAGCAGCCACAGATTGCATTTCAAAGAAAGATCTAGTTGGTTTGAGTACTTTAACAACACAACAACACATAAGTGGTGTAGCCAGGGAAACATTTTCAAATGCTTTGTAGACTTGTTAGTTGTGACTAGGCAGAGGGACATTAAGAAAATAAGAAGAACATAAGAGGATATTAAAATTATTACAGAGTGAATCCTTTGGGGAATGATTCATCAAAGCAGCAGAAATGCTTGACAGCCAAGATTATTTGCTTTCCATTGATGGGAGAATTTGATGAAGGGGATTTGAAAATAGTTATACCACTTGGTAGGTTTGTATGGAAGCAGAACTTTCTCTACCACTTACCATCCACTTTTTACAAAGTTGAACAGGAATTTTAATTTATTTGATTATCATAATGGTGTGACACAGCTTTCCCAATCTTAATGCTTAATGCTTAATCCAGTTTTAGTTTAACTGAATATATGAATGTATGAAGGTGTACCTGGAATTTTTAAATCCAGGTCTGGAATTTGATACGTGATTTTCTAGCCCAAATACTAGATGAGATGACCTTTCATATTCATTTGTAATGGCTTACGTTAGTTTTTACCAACTATTAGGCTTAATTTCTTTTTAAATAAAAAGTTATTTTGAAATAACCAAAAATAAATAGCAGTCTAATGCATGTTTACAAACTCACTTATGGTAATTAGCAACTCTTTAGTTTTTGACACAAAAGACGGGTAAATTAAGGCTGAAGCTTATATCCATGCAAAGAAAGGGCTAAAGGAGGTCTTAGAGTTTTGACTGGCTTTTTCTAATCCTCATGTCCCCTTTACATTGTTAGTTCAGCTCAGAAAAATGCACAACAAACACTGAGTATGAATATATTGTAGACCTGTGTCAGAGCATTTACTCACTGAATCTAGAACAAGGAAAGAATGGAAACTATAGTGATAATATTGTGGAGCACAATGCCTGATTAAATTGAATGGAGATGAGATGATTGGAGTGATCAGCTCCTAATTAGCACTTCAATATCCTGTATCACATAAACGATTTTCTTGGATTGTGGTCAAAACCAGCCTCTTCCATTATTTTAAAGATGATAGGTATGGTGTCTATACCAATGGTGGGTTGCCCCCGGTTCAGACCGGTTCGCAAGAACCGGTAGTAAAACCAGCGGGAGGCTCCGCCCACTGACCTGGATGTCATCAAAAGTGATCTGCGCACGTGCAGGAGCTTCTGCGTATGCTCAGAAGAGCGCACGCATGCTCGGGCACGATGTGAACCAGTAATAAAGGTAAGTAGAACCCACCCCTGGTCTATACCACAGTTCTTAGGTACTTCCAAAATAGGATCTCTTATGTTCTCATATGAGTTTGCATGTAGTTTGGGCCATTTTTTGTTTGATTTTTAAAAATAATCATATTTTCCTGTGAAAATATATGAAATTTTAGAGTGAATTGGAATGATTATCAAGGAGGAAGGAGATAATCTTGTTCACCCTGTCTAAAGTAGCCACATCAAAATATGCTGGTAGCCATAGAAAAGAGAAGATAATTAATTGTACTTTGAAATAATAGATCTCCTTTAAAGAATATTAAAATACTCAGATAAGTGGATAATTATTTTTTTTTGAATACTGCACTGTTTTTTGTTGATGCATTTTCACAGCCTGTTCTTAATGGCTTCCTAGCTTGTCTTGTGTTATTATGGTTAATGCTGCTCTCTACATAGCCCATCTCCCCCTCTGAGGAAGAAATAATTGATAAACACAGTTTCCCTTGTTTTGCAAGGCAGCACAATTTCATCTTGTGCAACATCCTGCAGCCAAAATGTTTGCAACACTACATGGGGTTAAATAATATAGTTAGAATTGAATAATTAATAGCAGAGGGGAAAGAAGAGATTACGAACCCAAACGGAGATGGGAAGCGATGTGCTCTGCTGAGATTTCAAATGAGACAGTCAGCGGAGCAGGCAAGCAGAGACTCTGTTTCAAATAACTGAATTAGTGGAGTACAGGAACACAGCGGGAAAGCAAAACAAAATTCCAA